TTATATATATTTTATTTTTATATGAATGTATGTGTATTTCATATGTAATTATATGCATATGTGTGTACACATAGTAAATAATATATAATATAGTGAATACCTGTTATCACCACCTAGATTTATCAAATCTAACATTATGCCACACCAAAGAGCAGCTTCATGTTACTTTATAAATGATATAGTTACTTCTTTATGTTGTATTAACTACCTGACAGCTTATACATTATAGCATCTTATAAGTGCTATTATGTATACATGTATAAATTTGTGGAAATATGGCAATATTTCTATATATTGCATTATCTTTCATGTTATATTCCATATATTATAAATAACCATTAATAGAGTAATAAAACTGATCTTTCATTTTTATAATCTGTTTTAAGTTAAAATATCAATATTAGTGACTGATATTGATTACTTTTGTAGACCAGATCTATTAGAACTATTTGATGATTATTAGTGTTTACCTAAATCAGCCTGACATTTAGTAACTCTGTTTTAAATAGTAAAATATAACTAGGTCAAGAAATGATTAAAAATTTGTACTTAAAACTCTAGAAATAGAATTTAAGAAAGTAAAATAGCACTGTATGTATACAATTGAAAAGTTAACTTACTATAAAACTTTGAAAGCATCTTTATTAAGCTGTGTATTTTTGTTGGTTTTAAAAATTATTTTTTAAGTTGACAAAAATTGTATGTCTTTATGGTATACAACATGATGTTTAGATATATGTATACATTGTGGGATGGCTAAGTCAAGCATTAGCTTTTTATATGCATTGCCTCACATACTTCATAAACTTTGTGTTGACAAACTGCAAATCAATACTACTTAGGAATAAAACCCTGCAATTTGACAGATTATTTTAATTTCCACATGAAATCAAGAAATAGCCACCACAAGTTTAAATTCAAGCCAATTTCTAAATTTATTTTGTGATAAAATATTCAAGAAACCTATTTATAGGCTGAAATTCAGTAGGAATTTAGTGACAGAGAATGTACTTGCATCGATGTTTAGCAATTATCGGGAATGGACTAATGCATACGTTTCTTGGCTTTCTCTCCTATAAAGTGTTGGAATTACATTTTTCCATTTTTAAGATATTAATACATAACAGTTTATATATTTAGGGTAGAAATTACAGCCTAAGTTCTTTTTTCGGTAACGGCTTTATTGAGATATAATTCACAGACCATACAATTTACTTATTTAAAGTGTACAGTTCACTGGTTTTTACTATATTCACAGAATTGTGCAACCATTACTATAATCAATTTAAAAATATTCCATCACTCCCAAAAGAAGTCAGCCCCCACTCCCCTCACTCTTCCCACCCTCACCCCTGCCCCAGCCCTAGGCAACTGCTAATCTACTTCTGACTGTATAGATTTGCCTATTCTGGACCTTTCATATAAATGGAATCATACAATATGTGATCTTTTGCGACTTGCTTTTTTACTTAGCACAATGTTTTCAAGATTTATCCATTATGTGGCATGTATCAGCACTTCATTCTTCTTGTAAGCCTAAATTCTTGAAAATCAAGGTACTTTTAAGAATGCCTCTATTTATAGGCTATTCTTCAGTTATTGTACTTTACAGTTTTTCATTAACGAAAAGCACAGGATTTATAAATACATCTCAAAATACAAATATAAAAATTGCATACAAAGTCAAATAATTTCATCTTTAATTAAAATGGGCATATTTATCCTCTTAAGGGGTCATGACTGTTTGCTTTGGTGCTGCTGGATTATAAAGGAATTAGAATTTCCAGAGTCAACTAATGTTTTCAGTTGGGAGTTTAAAAATGAAACTTGGCCTGTAATATGTAAATTTAAACAAGTTTTCTTATTTTTTAAAGAGTGTATGTATCAGGACTATATATTGGCTTCATGATTATATATTAGAACGTGTAGAAGAAAGGGAAATTAAATGTAGTACATTAATATTTATTTGATATCTATTTATGGATTTTTCAAATCCTTAAGGAAATGCTACTTAAATATTTTATGATCTATTCCTAAGCTTTTAAGAATATATTAGGTTCATAGGCAGGATAGGAAGTATGAATTCAGATTGTGGGTGAATTGATTTTGGTAGTTGGGCATTTTGAAACATTAATTA